GGAGCTGGAAAGGGAGACCCATCACTGCAATACACATAGGAGCTGCATGGAGAAGAAAATCTCCAGGACCTGCAGTTCTACAAGAAAGAGCAACATCTTTTCTTGCTGGCTCCCAGCTCTCGAGAAGGCAAAAGTACAATTCAGACAGAGAAAAGGCCAGGAGGAAAGCTGTGTCAGTGGACCAGGAGGAGAGCTGTTTCATGCGTGGGTCACTGGGAAGTCTATGAATTTGAAAATTCCCTGAGAGATGACAGCATTGAGTTTCTGGGCGTGCTTTCCGGGTGTGGAGGCAACAAAGGTGAAGGGTCTGGAGTTTCTTCTCTGTATTCACTCAGGATTAGGCTTCTCCAGTTTCAGAAGTAAAGTATATATGGTTTTGAAGAACACACACATATAGGGAGGGAGGTACACAATGGACATAGAGGATCTGAAGCTGGATGCACCACGGTGGCCACATGCACCAGGCCGGAGAGTCAGGAGAATGAGCCGCTGTTCAATGTGAGAAGCTGGAAACCGCAGGACCAGAGGGAGCGATGGTGCAGGCCGTGGTGCGGGCTGCTAAGTACCCGGGAGGATCCCTTGTGGAAATTCAGGTTGAAAGGCTGAAAGTAGACTCTGCTGTGATTTTTCTCCCATCTGGGTGCCCAGCTGATTGCTGGCCACATTCCAGGTGGGCATTTCCCACTCAGCTCACCGACCTACTTACCAGATGTGTCTGGAAACACACACACACACAGTGAATTCACCAGAGTCTGTCAATCCAGCCAAGTGACAGCCAAGAGCAGCCACAATCAGTGTCAGCATAAGAACTTTTGAATAAATCACAAAGAGACTGGACTTTCTCAAAGTGATGATTCCGACACTCTGAAATCTAATGAGAGTGTCTTAGCTCTGGTTGTTATCTTTTTCTTTTTTTAAAGCTGTAGACACAGGTCAAAAACAATATGGTAGAAGTTTATTTTATAGTTGAGGAGGCTGGAAGTGGAAGAACAATTTGCTTTTATAATTGGCTTTCATAGTCTACATGTCCATCATCAGATGAATGCATAAAGGAAATAGGGTGTATATACACAGGGGAGTATTACCCAGCCATAAAAAGGGTAAACTTGAGTCATTTGTAGGAAAATGGTTGCACATTGAGGACATCATGTTAAATAAAATAAATCAGACACATAAAATTAAACATCACATATATCTCTTACATGAGAAACTCCATGCATAATCAAAATAAAGAGCAAAAGACAGACAGTAGGACAGAGGGAGATAGATTTTTGCTCAGTGGTAAGGGCATCTTGGAATGGAAGGAGGGGACGGGGAGGGAAGGAAAGAGAAATTAAAAAGACTAAGATGTGTTATGTACCTGTACCTACTCCCCACAATGAACGCAACCATTATGCACTGCAAACAACGTTTAATAAAAGTGAATAAATGAGTACACAAACCCATAGGCTTAAAAGGAACCAAAAGAGTCCCTGGCTTCTGGCAAGTGTTTTCTTGTGGGCTAAAATCAGGGACCTTCTTACTATGTCTTTGTGTGGAGGGAAGAGAGAGGGAGAGAGGGAGACAGAAAAAGAGGAAACGCAGGAAAGAGTGGAGGAGAAAGAACTTTTCCTTTTCCTGCAAGGTTGTCCATTCTGTAGGGTTAGGCCCTTCCTTTCTGACCTGATTTGGTTTTTCTCATTCCCTCCTGTGAACCCTAATTCCAAAGACACCCCATAGAAAGCTCGAGCTGAAACATACACATTTGAGGGACAGTGTTTTTCTACTTCATATCCCAAAAGAAGGCAGAGAATGGGAAAAAAAAAATGAAACAGCAGCAACAACAAATAGATAAACACATAAATAAAAAATAAAATAGCCTGGCCTGGTGGGAGACGCCTGTAATCCCAGCGCTCGGGAGGCTGAGACAGGAGGATTGCCTCAAGTTCGTGGTCACCCTGAACTACAAAGTGAGACCCTGCCTCAACCCCCCCCCCCAACAAACACCCAATGATAAATATAAACGGATTGCATACCTAAAATGTACCCAAAAAATGTACCAATAAAAAAAAGATTTAAAATAATTTCTGGAGATGGCCCTGCTGGGACTGGACAGTGTTCTTGAGAGCTGGGCACTTCTCTGCGAGCTGCCTGCTCCCCCTGGGGCCTCCCTGAGCTCGAGCCCGGAGCCCTGAGCCTTGTTCTCACTCCTCTGTCCTTTCGGCACGGGCCGCATGATCGTGATGTCACACGGTACAGTGTCCCACCCACAGCTCCTCCGCCGCCTCCCTCATGCCTCGCTGTATCTCAGGAGAGAGAGGCGCACATCTCATGGACTGTTACCAAAAAGGACAAGTCAGTATTACGTCGTTCTCAGACACTCATGTTTCTGTTGGTCCTTCTGTAGCCCTGCTCCGGGCCCTCAGGTTCCCCTGTGTGTCTCCAGCCCTGGCTTCCCTGTGGGGTGAAGAATCCCTGCTCCTGATTACAGGCTTCCTTGCCTCAGTGTGTAAGCTCCTTGTACAATCGAGAAACATCTTGTATTCTGTGACCCAGAATGTCAAATGGTTATTTTAAAAAAAACAACCCAAAACCAAACAACAACAACAACAACCACAATAAATAAATAAATAAAATTTAAAAAGAAGGCAGAGAATGGTGAGCGTGGAGAGGTAGCTGAGCTGTTTACCCTTAGCTTTAGACTTGCAGATTTGGCACAAGGAGAAGGAATTTGGGCTCATAAAACTGTCTACCTTCTCTGGTCTGCAAAATCCTAATTCCACTAGCTCTAGGGTCTTACAGAGAAAGGTGTAAATCATATTTGATGTGAGAAATCTATGCTGATTCTGAAATTTCAACAAATTTTACTTACGCATGTGCATAGAGAAATGTGTATATGTGTATGTGAGTTTTTGCAAGGTACTTCAATTCAGGCACATATCCAAAAATTATACCTGAAAGTTAGACCAGTTTTGCATTTATCTGCAAAGGATTGTTTCCAGTTCCTCCATGGATACCAAAATCTTTGGACAGTCCATTCCCTTAGGTAAAAATTGTTACCCAAAGTGGAAAGGAATCAAGCGATGGAGGGAGGCGGGAGGGGAGAGAAAGCAGATGAAAAATGAATTAAGATGTGCTACATACATGCACAAACCCCTTACAAGGAATGGAAACACTGTGTTCCAGAAACTAAAACAAACTGAAGGGAAGGGGATGGAGGCATGGTAGATGAGGTCAAGAGGGAAGGGATAGGGAATGGAAAAAGGGATTAAGATGTATTACAAGGGCTGGGGATGCAGCCCAGCAGCCCCACGCCTACCTGGCGAGCATAAGGTCCTGAGTTCGATTCCCGGTATCGCCAAAAAAAAAAAAGAAAAGAAAAGTAAGATGTATTGTGCACATCTATTGACTTCCCACAAGGAATGCAAATATTACGTACTGCAAACACACTAATAACAAAATGACTTAATATTTGCAGAGAACCCACACTTACCCTGTTGTATGCCATTATTTATATTACCTATTACAAATGTAGATACCATGTAAGTATTTGGGAGACTGTACATTTTAGGGAGTCATGAAAAACAAGTCTGTAAATGTTCAGTACCAATGCAATTAAAAAATTTTCCATGCAGGGCGAATTGACTCTGAGGGATCTTACAGGGAGGGCCTATGGGGTATATGAATATACACATTGTATACAAACAGTAGCAGACACAATGCGTGATTGTATATCTTTGATTTCCACTTAGTGTCATAACTTCAAGAAGTCTCCATATCAATGTGAATAATACGATTTCACCCCTTTTACTGGATATGCCATCTTTCAGTTAAAATAGCCTCACATTATTTGAAACAAGGAAACTTGCCACTTTTAAATCATTAAAAATGATGCTCCCATTAATTAATGTTAGTGGTTCATTTTGTGCCCAATAAAATGTAGTAGAAATCTACATCTCTGCATGTGGTTGGCTCAAAGGCAATGCGTATTTCTAATGTGGAGAGTCACCAAAATTTCCTTTCTTAAAGATGGGCCATCCTCTACTGTAATCAACAAACTCTGGCCAGATTTGAAATAAATTAAGAATTTCTTGTGGAATTGAAGTTTTACTTGATGGGGTAAACCACACTTAAGTGCATTCTGATAAAAAACTATAGAAGTACATGCCCTCTTAAATATTAAAAATTTAAAAATAATACATGCAGAAAACACACATAGTCCCTGTAAGTCACTTTCTATTTTCACTGTCTTAGGGAAGCTATTTTTTGTGCACTAGGCACTGCAAATTTTATTCTTTATTTAACAGTGCATGCCACAAGATACAGATGTATGTCATTTTCTTGATATTTTTAAAGCACCCCATTCTAGACCTGTGCCTTAATTTTATTTTTAAAACAAAATATTTTTTAAGTTGAACGTATTTGTGCACTATAGTGTGTTAATTCAAAATATACACAATGCGTATAATCAAGTCAGAGCAGTTAGCTTTAAGGTGTCCTTACATTTTAAAATTTTCACTTCACACTTAAGAATTGTACACATTTTATGAGGTATCTATGATATTTTTCATAATCAGTTTAACAATTGTCACAGCAGTAGATTCTTTACTTCCTTAAGATTGTAGCTTTAGCAAACAATAAAATCTAAAATCCGTTCCCAGCAGCAGAAGAGTCGTTCTACTGGTTTCTGTACAGTTATCTGCATACATTTTGTTCTAGGATTGCCAAAAGAAAATGCCTGGTGAGAAGTCCACATACATTAAAATTTTCAAGAACCCACAGGAAAAGATGAAAAGGATTGGGAGATTAACTGTTAAAATACAGGAGTTCAACATGCTGCCCGTATGAAATATCGATAACGAGGCAGTAGATATTCTTTCTTAAGAACACTTTATGGACCCACTACGGGATATTTGCAAGGAATAACACTAGACCAAAGCTAACACAAACTATGGCTGAGGATGCACCATAAATATCTCTAGATGTGCTCACACTGAAGCATTCTGGTGCTGTGCCTGAGAACTAAGTTTTGTTTTATTTGGTTAGGTTTTGGAGACAGTCACACTACGTTCCCCAGGCTGACTTGAAATCTTGGTCTAAGGCAGTCCTCCTGCCTCAGCCTTAGCTGGGACTACACATGTATGCATTCGTGGTAGTTTCATAAGGGTTTCTTCTGATGACCAAAGACTACAACAGTTCTTGCACTTATGGTTAAGATAGCACTGCAATATTATGAAACTTTTTCTAGGACCATCCAATGGTCATATATTCAGAAGCCTAATTCTGAGGCATCTGCTATTGCCAAACCATTCCCAGGGCTGTAATGATCTTCAGCAGTTTGTTGTTAACATTGGACCAGCCTTTTGGCTCACAGAGCATCCTGTCTCATCTTAATCCATACAACAAAAACTCCTGCAGAGAATGTTTCATTTCTGGCACGTAGTACAAACCACCTGATTTCACCTCAGTGCCGAGGCTGCAGTCATAACAGTGCACTTCCATTAAGCAGAAATTATTAATTCACTTAAAAGGGCATCAGAAAGATTGACAGAACCATATAAAACCTCATCCTATTTCGCATCTTCAAAGAGTGAAGAGATCCTTTCGCAGAAATGTTAAAGGAGATGCTGAACTTTACCGATGTCCAAGCTGTTCTTTTAATAACAGCGGCCATGCAGGAGCTGCATTTGTTAAATAGGAGCTTCCTGAATTTTCAATAAACGTGCCTTGGAAGAAACCTTTTTCCATCAGTATGAATGCATGATGACGCCGAAGTGTTAATCGTGGAACTCCAGGGAAACTCGCTGTGCTGCAAAAATAAGCTCAGGTTACTTCAGTTTTCCAAGGAATATTTATATGATTGTTGGAAGAACAGAAAAGACCATGTTAAGTGAAGGAGCCAAGTCATTGGGAAACTAGGGTATTAAAATTCGGTCTATGTGGTTCTGTGAGAAACTGGTTATTTCAAGGAGATGACTATGCCTGTTGTATCCACGTATAGGGCAAGCCCAGTTTGAGGACAATGCGGAATTCATTTGTGACAAAAGATTTCTGCCTCAGTATTGTACTTTCTAAAAGATGAAACTTCAAGGAGATCCAAATCATTTGGCTCATAAGAAAAAGGAATATCTCAGAATATGCTTATAAATGTGAGCTGGATATGCAAAAACAAATGCTTTTGTTCCAGGAAGAAATAACGGCCCACCCAAGATGAGGATACAATTTTTAAAAAATATTTTCAGCAAAGGAACTGAAAAAGTGGAATTATTATGAAAAGAATATGTATTCACACACAGCTTATAAAACTGATTAGCATTCTCAGAGAATAATAAAGATGAGATACTGGACTTGTATTATTTCCCATAAGTAGTTCTGGGAGCTCTCTACAATTAAAAAAAATCTGAAATTTGTTCCCTGGTACCCCTCGCCCCCCAAGGGAAAAAAAAAAAAGAATCTGAAAGATGAATTACCATAGCTTTATTTTTAACAAAACATTGAATGTCACAGCTCAGTTGAATCTATGAACAAGTAAATAAACAGCAATATATATAACTCTTCATTATAACATCTGTGCCAAACAACTGGCTAATTCAGATCTAATGAATGACATTGTTATAACAAAGAGAAGTGGAGCAAACATTTATCCACTCTTTTATAAAGGAAGGATTTGAAGAAATTATTAACAGAAAGGTCATGGAGGAAAACTATCTTAAAATATTTGAAAGTGCCAAAGACATCCCAATTAAGTCTTAAGGACTAAATTGTATTAAACCATATATTTTCTTTTTCTTCATTTATTCTCCTTGGAGAAATGACCAAAACCTTTTGCTTCTTTATACCTAGGTAGTGTCTTTTCTTGGAAGGAACATGAAACAAATTCTTTATAATTCAAATGGGACATTAATTTATACCACCTCCTTTACAAACTGTCTAAATAACTTGTCCTTTTATGTTTTAAAACTCAATTGTAATGTGTTTCAAGTAATTTCTGAGCATAGCTCTTCCATTAGTATGTTGAGAGAGTAGCTTCTGATGTCATATTTGTCTAGTTGCAGTAGGATTAAAATAACGCTGAATTGAGAGAGCAGTATGCAGGATTTTTTTAATCTCTGTTTTCCACTTTGAGAATGCAGTGTGGCATTTTTAATTACTCATTTACATTACTCATATGTGAATGCTGCATTTTAAGGAATTTGTCTGGCAGGCTCTGGAAATGGTACATTATTTAAAAGAGACTATGGTCTCACTTTGCACTTCCTGAAATCCAAAACTTTTTGAGCCCAGATATTTTAAAAGTAGAAAATAATATTGCTCTATGAAACTTTGTTTCCTTCACAAATTCACTAAAAATATGATAGGAGCCAGGCCTGGTGATGCATACCTGTGTCTTCAGCACTGAGGAGGCTGAGTCAGGAGGAGTATCATGAGTTTGAAGCCATCCTGGGCTACACGGTGAGTTCAAGGCCCGCATGAGCTAGCACATAGTGAGATCCTGTCTCCAAAGACCAAAACCAAAGCAAAAGATTAAATAAATAAGTACAAAATATACTGCATAAATTTCCTGCAGGCTATATGTCTAAGAGCTATAGAAAGCATAAATAAATTTCACATAAAAATTTTTGATTGTTCCCTATAATATCACCTCCAGGACATGATGTATAAGGACTTATGGCAAAATTAGAGAAATTTAGAATCTGATTCATTTGTTCTCCCGGGCTTTGCTGCTGAAGTTTAGTCAAACTGTACTTCCTTTCAGAGAACATCTCAGAGCACACGGTAAGTCTGACCATCAGCCACGCGGGCTTATTTCAGTGCACCTCACCCAGGAAAAAAATGTGTGTATACTGCAATCTCACGTTTGCCGTCCTGGATCTTTGGGAATAATTATCATGTCAGAAAGGGTCCGTCAACGGAAATATAGCTTGGTTGTATGCTGCTTGCTTAGCTTTCAGAAGTGCCTGGTTCAATTCCCAGCAGAGTAGAAAAGAAGGGAGAAAAGGAAGAAGGAAGGAAGGTAGAAAGAAAGGAAGGAAGGAAGGAAGGAAGGAAGAAAGGAAGAAAAAATCCCAGCAGTAAGAGATTCTTAGGCAGGAGAATTTCAAGGGTGACTTCCACCTAGGCAACTTAGTAAGACCCTGTATCAAAATTAAAGAAGTCTCAAGGGTTTTCATTTTCTACTAAGGTAACTGATAAAACATGAGGACATGAACAATACCAACAAAAGAAGTAAGCAGTGCTACCCATATTATTTTTGTAACATCAAACCTGTAGAATTTTTCTTTGAATAACATCAGATACTCAAATCCAAAAGGTTTTATTGATGCAGACAGTGACTTTCAAAAGTTTTTCCCATATTGTGAATATATATAATTAATCATATATATATACATATATATATAAAACTGTATGTCATACAGAAATACTAATTCATATCCATTTCCTCCACAAATATTTTGTGATATGTGTGGCCCAATTTAAAATGTCATTTAAAATAGAAAAACAGATAAGATGCTAATAGAATTTTCAGATTTTTTTGCTTCTTTTTTGCCACATTATCCAAGTGAATTGCTTTATCTTTATTTTGTTCATATAACTTATTTTCAGATTCAAATGAAATTAACTGTCTTAAAGTTCTTGGGGAACTGACTTTTAATTTTAAAAAGTTTCACTTCGTCTGTGTGGATTTGTTTCTTCAACTAGAAAAAATTAATTCTATGTGGTTTTTTGCTGGCCTGTTATTGCCTAGTAGGCTTGCAGTCTGTTTTTTTCTTAATTCTGTTTATTTACAAATTTTTCACTTGACGTACTACAATAATAAGATTATATATTGATATATTTTAAAATATGATATATTTTTAAGTAGAGATTTTAGTTAAAAAAGAGATCCAAAGAAGAATAATAGTAGCATGTCTTTTTGTCTTTAACAATGCATTTACATATTTTCAATAATTACCAAAAAGCTAGTTTCCTCTCAAAAATAAGAAGCTCAAATCTAAATTTCTTTTGAGAACCTCTCTCTTTATTTTTGTTTCTACTTAATATAATCGCAAAATATCTTGGTATCAATGGACTCTACAACACAACTGAAGAGAAATTTTAAAGTGTAAAACTGCAACCCAGAGAAAAAATCATTATGCTTTAAAGTGAAATACCCTCCTCTGAATGGAAAGAAATACAAATGTCAATCAGCAGCACTAATAATATGGCCACTAATACTTTACAAAATCCAAACACTTTCATGTTTTAAAAGCTATTGACTTAAGATGTTTCACATAGAGTGCTTTAATTATGGTCATCTGAACCTGTGAAATATTCTCTGGTTTCCAAAACCCAGACATCGTCTAATCTGCTTTCTTTCTTTCATTTCTCATATCTAATCTGTTTGGATAACAGTTTAGGACCAGATCCTCAAAGCTGATCCCCAAGCAGGTACCACTTTTGAGGAAATTCCACAATTCATCCTTCTTCGATCCACCATTTCTTTCTCATGAAATGCAGAAAGCAACATTTCATCTTTATGCTTGGGCAAGACTCCACAGATTTTCTACATGAAGTGTTCAGATGACGGCTCCTTTACCTGATATTCTCAAGAGCTCCCCAAGTTAGCATAAAGGCCTTGCAATGCCCAGTGACTGTTACATATTGTGCTTTGGGCTCTACTTATTGGATGCTCCTAGCATCCTAGAGGTAGTACCTCAATTTGCTGTTCTTTGTTCACATACTACTATCTCTGGGAAGCATTATTTTGAACTGCCACTCTATCTTAGTTAAAACTGCATCTGATAATTCTTTCTGCTGCCTCCTTACTCAGCTGGTCTACATCAGCAGGGGAAATATCATACATCGGTTTCTAAAATACTATTTAGTTTCTGGGTATCCCTCAAGATCTGTGGATACAAAAATCCATGTATGTTTAAGTCTTCCACATATTTGCACAAAATATACTTATAGTCTCCCATATATTTAAATCATTATTTACCATATCCAATACTATGTAATCATACAAATCATTGTGATATTGTACCATTTATGGAAGAATGATAAGAAAATATGAGTGTGTGAATGTTCAGATGAGAAACGATTCTTCCAAGCTATGTTCAATACAGCTAGATGAATCTGTGAATAAGAGTGGATTGCATTTTTTATATTCTACATCATCTGTCTCTTCTACTAGGGATTTTTATCATCATTCAGTCACAATACCTGATACCCAAAACTTAAAGGAGGAAAAGTTTAATTTGACTTATAATTGCCAGGGGCTCAGTCCATGGTGGGCTGGCTCCAAGGCAGACGAATCATGGCAGAATGGGGTGGTAGATGAAAGATGCTTAGTTCAAAATAGCCAGGAAGCAGAGTGAAGTGGATAAGAACAAGAAAGCAAGGGGCCAGGGACTAGATATAGTCCTCAAGATTATACCTAGAAATGTCCTTTAGTAATTCCATAAGTAGCTCCCAAACCTGGCAAATTAATACAATTAACATTAACTGTCACACCTAGAGTATGAATCTCTCCAGTCAAGAATCATTGTTTCCTTCCTCCCTAAAATATCCTTACTACTCTGTCTGGGACATTCATTTCTCAGAAGGAAGGTATTGAATAGATAAATGAATAAAACATACCCAGGCACAGATATTTCTACAGTTTCTCTTAGAACTAATTTAACTCACTACTGTATCTGAGCCATGCAGTGAGAAACTGAAAGTGTAAATAAGGACTAAAAAGTATAATAGATAATGTGAAATAGGAAGAAAAGGGGCAGAGGGGAAGGGGAAGTGGGAGGGGTAGGGGAAAGGAAAGAAGGGAATAGAATTAATAAGAGAAAGTGAAAAAATGGAAACAAAGTCTTTTTAAATAGGAAGGGGTGGAGGGGTTGAAGGGAGGCCAGGGGAATGGGGAAAAAATAGGAACCAAGAGAGATTGTGTAAAGGTGCAAATCTCCAATGATGAATGTCATATATTGTATATCTAAAATGTACCAATAAACTTAATTTTAAAACTTATATCCGTTACTAAAATAGCTATTGCTTAAAATAGTCTGCACAAATTCGAAAGCTAACAAAAGGTTTTGTAAACTTACAGCATTCCAGAACTTCTCATTGGTCAAGTTGGGTAGTAAGAAGAAAACACCCCATAGAAACAGTAGATTAGTGCAGACACAACTCAGGAGCTGCTAGAAAGTAGGAAACAAAACATCAAAATGCACCGTGAAAAGTTCTCACTTAGAAGTGGATTTTTCAGAGTTGTCAGAAATAGATTTTGCACTATAAGCAAAAAAAGTGAATTGCATGTAAGGAAAGATGCAACAAGAGCCACCAGCTCCTTCGCTTCCCCAAATATTTAGCAAGAACTGACTGTGGTATTCTAGGTGCAGAGCATAAATAGTCATGCAATGTCCTGTGCTCTGCTCAGATTTCCTCAGAACAGAGTAACAGCCTGCTAGGAGCTGCACAACACCTTTGCGTCTTTGCCTGGAGGGTTTTCAGCTTTCCATTTGGTGTAAATTTACTACCTGTCTGCTGTGTGCAATACACCTGCATACCCAACAACAGCAAAAAGATAAAGGTCTTGTCATTCTGTAGCCATTTACAGAAAACTCTCAGTCGAATGAGAGGACAAAGATTTGGAGGCACACAGAGATGTCTTTTGCCACTGTTACGTTTTCCTATTTGCTTCCATGAGGTTTTATATTTCATAGCTGACTGGCAGTGCTCATGTGCCTGAGGGATTTTTGTGTCTTCAGATTTCAGGGACTAAGTTAGGCAACAGGTAGGGTAGGATGGGGAGGAAGTGACTGTGTAGATGGGGAAGGAAATGCCGTGTAAATATAATCGGGAAATCTCTTACAGTTTGTGTGCTATTTCACATGCATACCTGGATAACTACACTGATACTCATAGGCCTAATGGTAGGTAAGGATAATACTGCAAACTGCCATGATTTGCCTCTGACATGTCCTCCAATAGCTCCTGTCTCAGAAGCTTGTTCCCCGTTATGGTAGTGTTCAGAAGCTGTGGGTTGGAAGCTGATTGCATCACGAGAACTCTGAGTTCACCGATAAATGAATCAATTGATGGATATTCAGTGGATGAAATGATGGATAGTTTAACGGACTATGGGGAGTGGGTGGAAATATTAAGAGCTGCAAGCTAGCTGGGGGGTGTAGGTCAGCTGGGAAGTGCCATTGAATGGAATCCTTTGTTGGCCATCCCTTCCCTTCAATCCCTCTCTCTGCTTCTCAGCCACCATCGGGTGAGTAGCTTTGTTCTACAACATGTTCTGAACATTCTTGGTCCATTGTTCCACCAAGCCCTTCCACCATGATGTTTCTGCCCAACCCAGGCCCAGCAACCCTGGATTGACATTACTGTGCCCTGAACCTCTGAAACCTTGAGACCCAGTGAAACTTTCCTCCTCGGAAGTTGTTTTTCTCAGTGATTTTGTCACACATAGAGAAAGCTGGCTAATACACAGACAAAGCACCTTAGAAGGGTTGTGAACCTTGTGGGTTTCATGATGTGGATCATATGATGCTAATTTCCAGGCAGTTTCTACCATTTGTGGGCAGTTAGTGAAAATAACAACTCAGGTTGCAAAATGAAGTCAGCACTTGGTACAGAAATTGTAGAAAATCCTCACTATTCATAGAACTAAGTAATAGTTGGGTAATAGATATATAAGACTATCCACAAAAAGAGTAAGTAAGTGGAAATCAAATTTTAAAGCTGCAGAATTACAACTCAGTATTTGCTTCAAATATCAGATGATAAATAAATGAAAAGTATAAAACATGTCATGGTTTCCATATAAATAATTGTTAATCGTTTTGCCAATAAAAGGTGTGGAAGATATTTAAGGAAAAGAAAGAAGGAATTTCTTCAACACTCTACACAGTAATTCTTAAAACAACAGTAACATTTGAATATAGTGTTGATGTGAGTTGATTTTGGAGATCTGTTGTTACTAGAATAATTGATACATGGTTAATTTCATACTTATTCTTCATTCTGTACCCTATAATATTTGTACATCATATTTCATTAACAGTTGTACTAGACTAAAAAAATCATACTATAGAATCTTATACAAAATAAAATATAATAAATAACTTTCACATTATCCGTAATTTCTTTAAAGAAATGCAGAAGTTGGACTTACAATTCCAGCACTTTGGAAGGCCGAGGCAGGAGTAGCACATTTTCAAAGCCAGCCTAGGCAACTTAGTGTTTTAAGGAGGAAAGGGGTATGTAACACAATGGAAAGTCTTCAGTTTCAATCCTCAATACTACAAAATAATAATAATGATAATAATAATAATAATAATATAGTATTAATATAAATAAGAATGAAGAGTAGGAAAAGAAGAAAAATGAAAGAGAAGAGGAAGAAGAAGGAGAAGAGGAAAAGGAGAAGAAAAAGAAGGGAATGGAGAAGTAGAAGGGGAAGAAGGCAGATTTACAACTAGTTTTTAATTCAAGTTTTAGTTGAGATAAGCAAGGCTTAATTACATTTTTTTGGTTTTTTTGGTACCGGAGATCGAACTCGGGACCTTGCGCTTGAGTGGCAGGTGCCGGAACCAATGAGCTGAATCCCTGGCCTCAATTACATTTTGGAAGAAATGAAGGAAATTTAGCTAGGCATTATATCCTAGGACTCATTTTTTACTTAATTATTTTCTGTCACGTGTAACACTACAGATGTCTAGTTGAGACTTCCACAATAACTAGAAAATATATTGAAATATTTAGATGTAAAAGACCACATAGCTTTTCGTTTTATTTTCTGCAGTAAGCAGATAGAGTTGAACCAGATATTGCAAAGTATTAAAAGCTGTTATTTCTCGGGGAAGAGGATTTAGTGTTTATTGAACTATTTTTTCTTCATTTCTGTACAGCTGAATGCTTTCAAAGTTTAAAAAAAATGCAAGTAAACCCAAATTGCAATCAAAAGAAAGAAGGTAATACATTATTTGATGAATGCATTTTGAAGCCTTGTATGTTTCCGAATTTTACTTGATGTGAAACTTAACTACTTTAAAATTTGTGGTAATGGTTGAGGATCCATCAGCAAGTGACAGAATTTTGCTAAATGACTTTTATTTAGAAAATGGAAGACTTGTTTGGTCCAAGACGAACCAGGGTTCTTGCGCTATTAAGGTATATGTGGCTGGACGTCTTCGTCAACTGTGAAGCTACATAAACCTCCATATTCTCTACAGTATAGATTCGTTAATTTTTTGGAAGCATTGTACATGCCAAAAATAAGCTGAGATAGTGTCTGTCTTTGAGAAGTTACTATTCTTTGCAGTGACCCCAAATCCTGAAACCTATAGGACAATAATCAGTAGCAGGTCATCTAGGGCCAAAATCCACAGAAAAGAGAACGGGTCTGTCCTGTTTCTTTCTGTTTTCCCATTATTCCGTTGAGTTAAAACTAGGCTGAGGTTGAATGAAGGACCAAGATTTCCAAGGGCCTTCTGCTCTTTGATTATTTCATAGATTATCCTCAAGTTGTGGGTAAATTTTCATGATGAAAAGAGAGTCTGATGTGTCCAAATGACTTATGAAAAATTTAATAAAAAGAATGAGTAGAACAAATAAAAATTCTCTTCGTAGATGCCAGAAGGCAAACCTGATGATATATTCTACTTATGCACATAAAAATGAACGCATAGGACTTTTGGTTGCATCGTGATGTGGCAGTGTGGGCTGTAAGGTAGGAGATCAAAAGGATTTTGTGAATCCTGAGGCACTGAGGTCCTACCCTTAGCCACAATCTATCAGAGTTCATCGCGAAGTGTGGAAATTCTCCTCCCTGAAGAGCTGGTTTTAGCCTTGAGTTACCGCAGGTGTCTGACATAAAACAAGGTCTGATTTTGACAAGCCCAGTTCGTTTTGAAACGCTGTCAGAAATGTTACTTTTAAGGCTGTTAAAAAGACCAGGATCACTTCTGAAGTAGACACTGTAGACCTTTCAAACGCACTAAAGGAGGGAACATTTCAGGACCGGCTCTTCCGTGCCTTGGCAGAGCAGAATTATGTATGAATTCAGGAAGCAGCTGTCTTAGGCACCCAAAAATACCACAGCAAGGACTTTGAGTTCGATCCTCATCAATGCTTAAGATGTGATGCATTAGAATTTTAAAAAAATCTTTTGTTTTGATACAAAAATTAAGACTCCTTAAAATACAAAATTAACACAGTAATTGTGCATATTTATGGAGGGTGATGAGATGTATGCATACATACATTATATTTATGTATATATTATATATTATACATACATTATATTAAAACCAGGATAATCAACCACCTTGAATTGATCCTCACACATTGTGTACACATGTTTAATTGTCACACTTTACCTCATGCACATGCACAACTAAAATAACAAAAACTAGTAAAAATAATAGCTTTTTATCCCCACATTCTCTTTAGAAGCACATTTAAAGTGCTATTTGATTCCTGTGACACAGAAATACATACTAGGATTGAAAAGATAAAGGGTTCTGATTTAATAGTAAAAATTTAATTACCATATTTAAATGTTTGAAAAACATTCATACATGTTTATATAAGTCATGTATGTGAAAAACAACATGTAGGTCATATATATTCAAAAAACAAAAAAAAAGACAAAATTTGAGTCTACATTGATAAATGGATGATCAAAATATTTGGTAAATATTTAAATTTTTAAAAATGTAAAGACACATTGCCATAAATCTCCCTCAAAAATTTCCTCCCACTCTGAACAGACTTATCATCATCATCATCATCATCATCATTATCATCATTACCACCACTTCGTCAAGCTCTAATCCAGAGTGATCTCATGTCAGGATTCTAACTAATTACAACTACAGTGACCCTATTTCCAAAGAATGTCCCGTGCAGAGGATCTTCCAGTCAGGATATGGGCATAGTTTTTGGAATTGGGGAGGCTTCAAACTCTTACACTTTTCTTCAACTGCCTTAGGACGTGGTAGCAGAGATCCTCCTGCTTCGTCTACCTCTTGGGCTCATGGAAGCTCTTGGGTGAAGCCCCTTCACTCCAGTCTCTGCTTCCATCTTCCAGTGGCTTCTTCTCTCTCTGTCTCTCTTGCTTTTACCCTTTCTCATGAGGACACTGCCATTGGTTTTGTATCCCACCATCTCCTTTATGCCCTTAACTGTATTTCGTATGCAAAGGGTATATTTCTAAATAAGGCCAGCTTTCCAGGTATTGGATATTAGGACTTCATTTCCCCATCTGTAAACATCATAAGGACATCAAACTCACACAGGTGGATTTTCTCACTTAGTGTACAGCAGGAGCTATGCAAGCTCCTGCAGTATTGAAAAATCACGTTTTGGTAGTATTAGCAAAATCCCAAGCTGGAGCAAGCCTTTCCATTCTTAGGAAGTGCAGATGACTCCTAGATGTTGTTTTAGGGATAGAATTTAGGGAAGACCTGGCAGCCTATCTACCAACAAGATAGAGCTGTCAGTGAATTTGGGTTTTCTAAGCTGCTGGGAGCAATCTCAAAGGGTCAGCCTTTGTGTGCTGCATGCATCAATGTCACCCCAGTCTCTGTGTTACTTAACTTGGGTCTCAAATGCCTGGCATGAGCAACTTAAAGAACGTGAGACTTATTTTGGCTCTTACAGTTTCATTTCATGGTCTGCCGGCTCCATGAGAAGCCATCATGGCTGAAGGGTTTGGTGGAGAAAAGATGCTCAACTCATGGTGGACAGGAAGCAGAGAGCAGAAAGAGGAGGGAGGAAGGGCTCACAGGTGAGATAGATTCCCTAAGGTCAGGCTTCCATGAGCCACTTCCTCCAGTCCCCCCCACCAGCTCCACAGTGGGGTAAGCCACTGACAAGTTACTGCTGTCAAAATCCAATCTTCACCCAGTCACACTGACAATGAAGATTACAGGCAAAAGACCACCCTGGGCAGAGTCTCATAAACTGCACAGCTCACCTGAGATGGTGTTAAAACAGCGCTGAAGCCATATTTCCCTTCTTCTCAACTTCTTTCTCTATCTTTGCCCCCAAATGCCTGCCCCAGTCACCACCTTGATATCTCCATAGTGACCAAAGGGCAACAATGGTCCCTTACAGGTGATGTCACAGACAGATATCTGACATGTGTATGTTTATGAACTAGTGGGAACAAAAAGTTAACATTAAATGAAGAGGATGCAGGGCTGGGATGTATGACTCACTGCTAGTGGGCTGAGCTAGAACGCATCCTAAGCAGTGAAGAAAAAGACAAAAATGAATATACACCTCGGTAATTTTCTGGAAAGTGCATTGGGGTATCATATTCTTGGAGTGAAAAAAAAAATGAATCCACATCTTTCTGTCTCATCTACTTTTGTGAATTCAGTCTGTCAGGATGCAAATGAGTAAACAATTGACAGCAAAACTGAGATAATTTAAAAGGGATGTTTGCACACTCTGTTGGTTTCTGGATGTTTAGGATCTCGAATGTCTCAGTTGCTGACTTGAAACTTGGGAAGATGATGGATCATGCAAGATCTCACTTCATTACTGATTAATTCATTAGAGCATTCATAATTTGTTGGGATATGGGATGGGATGGAAACTGCTGGAGATTGGACCTAATTAAACCTGGTAGGTTCCAGGGATCATGCATCAGAGTCACCCCAGTCCCTACATTAGTAAGATTTTCATCAGTGGGCACAACTACTCCCCAAACACTATGTACAAAAAGAGATGTTTATTTTGGCTTCCAGGTTCAGGGGGTTCAATTCATGGTCAGCTGGCTCAAGGGCAAGAATACTTTTAGGGAAGGGTGTGGTGCCAGAAAGCTGTTTCTTGTAGTCAGGGTTTTGCAAGGGAAATAGATTTAATACAGGACACGTGATTTGTAGGATTATGTTACAATAGTCACCCAAAAAGTCAAATGCAGAGTGCAAGAGATCTGTCCACACACTAGAGACTCCAAGAATCCAGCCAAGGATCTGGGTCATGCATTAATGTCCTGCACAAGTCCAGCTGAAGGCCTAGAGCCCATGGCAATGTTTCATGCTTGTTCGTATCATGGATCTGCACCAGGAAGGCCCAAAGGCTAGTGGTGGAAGCCAGAAAACCTGTACCAATGGGTGAAGGATTTGTGCCACCAGGCTGAGGGATCCACACTGGAGCCAGGAAGTGATGCTCATGGTGAAGATCAGAGCTCCCCTGATGAGAACAGCAGGCATTCTCAATGACAGTGAAGCCCCAAGGTCTTCTTCAGATGAAAGCAGCCGATTTCTCATCAGGAAAATGAGCTGCAGCAAGCATCTCCTTGAAAATCAACAACCCATGACTTTCCCCTTCAGTTCTCTTTGTATGCCCTTGGCAACAATCCTCGGGGGGGGCCTTCCACCCCCCACCATACTGATTCGGTTCAGCTGGGCGTCCCAAGTTGACCAACAGTTAATCCACCACACCGATTCTTCTCAATTCATGGTGGATAAGAAGCACATAGGAGGAAGAAGCAGAGAGGAAGGGATCCTGGAAAAGACAGCTTCCCTAAGGTGACACATCTGTGGACCACTTCTTCCATCTGCTGTCCATCTCCTATTCAGCCCTTCGGCTGTGAACTCTCCAGTGGATTAAGCCGCTTATGAGGTTTCTGCTCTCACAAACCAAGCATCTCTCCAGTGGTCTCTTAATCCAGTTACACTGACCATCACGATCAACAGGCACATGACCATTCCCAGCATAGTCTCAAAGTCCAGAGCTCAGCTGAGATTTGCTAAGCCAGCTCTGAAGTTCCCTATTCATTCTTCACAACTTTGCTCCTCTGCCTTAGCCCCCAAACAACTGTCCTCTACGATCTCCATAGTGACCACCCAATGGGTAAGAAGAGCCCCTCGCACATGATGTCACAGAGACTGGCATCATCTGATGCGTTTAAGAACCCAAGGGGACAAAAACTACATGCTAAGTGAAGAGGATTCTGGATTAGTGTTGTGACTACATGGTCAAGGATGTACCTAAAGTGCACAGTCCTTGAGTTCTAACAATAGCATTGCAGAAAAAGAAAAAAAGAAGATAATTCTTCCTAATTTTCTGAGAAGTTCATATGAGCATCATAATCTGAAAGTGGAAAAAAATGAAATCAGTGTCTATTTGTTCTACTGTGGGATTTTGTTGAGTCAGCCCTGGGAGCCTTACACTGTGAGATACCAGCCCTTTGACCAGTGTGATGAACAGAAAGTTGGTGTCCTTCCAAAATTCCTATGTTGAAACCCTACCTCTAAAGGTATGGTATCAGGATTTGGGGGCTCTGGGAGATGCTGTGGTCACAAGCGTGGAGCCTCATGGATGGGATCCTCATCCTCATCACAGAGACCTCAGAGGGCTCCCTGCCTTCCACCATGTGAGGACACAGCAAGAAGGTACCACCTATGACCAGGAAGAGGCTTCACCAGATATGTTGTATCTCACACCTGGACCTTGGACTTCCAGCCTCCAGGACTGGGACCAATGAATATCTGTCATCTATAAATCACTTGGAAATGAAGTTTTGTTGCAGCAGCTCAAATATACTAGGTTACGTATTTGTTGTTTTTCTCATTTCATCTTTGGGTCCAGAACACTGAAGGTTGGTGTATGTGTGTTTAGTACAAATCACTTAATGAGATGAGATTTTATAGGGATGGATGTCTCTTGCATTGTAGACTTCTGTGTTCAGAGCATTGACCATGGTTAGGATAAGATTGATTTCTCATCATTCACATGGAGTAGATTCTCTCAAGTCAGTGTGAACAATAAGTGTTGAATTTTGAATCCTTTTTCCTAGAGAAACACCAAGTTAATTTTCTATGTGACTCTGTACAACATTTTCATCACTGAATTGCTGCCTAATTTTACATGTTTCTGTTTAAGGATTATTTATTGGATAGGTGTTGTTGATTCCTTTGCATTGAACTCATGGGCAACTGCAGTGTAACTCATGCCTGAAACAAGCTTGCCCTACAGGTATGTATTTCTTTCATGAGGCACATCATGGTCCTGTTACACTCAGGACTACTTTGTGCTTAAGCGCTTGGCTTTGGGGACATTTTAAGCAACATGATCACCAGAAGTGTGCATAAAATTTCAAGAGAGCACAGCAAAACATAGAGAAATAGATGACTTGTTCACAGTCTAATAACTCAGAGAAGGGGAAGCATGTTTTTCCTAGACTGTGGATGGGAAGGTGCATGTTCATCAACTCAAACTTTCCAGCACTCTGCACACTGCAATAACTGCAAAGCCACAGTGAGAAGTGATTTGAGTGTTAACAAGAAATTTTAGGTAGGAGACAAATTTACAAATACAGAGTACACAAATAATGGGGGTGGATTCTCACCTCCTAGCCAAACAGGAAAGCACAAAAATTTTCAGTCACAAAAGTGACCAGTTCTACTCCCCACCAAAAACACCTTAAAATAATAAACAAACCAACACAACCACCTCTCACCGGCTCTATGTATTTGTGCATCCCTGATATCTTAGGATAAATGTCAAAATGAAAATAGGAACCCAATGGAAAATGCACACCAGCAAATAAAGATAAATAAACATGAAGTATTTCAACCAGAAAAAGACAAGGACACAAAGCTGACGATAAGCTGCTCTTGTTGAGTGGAAGATGATTTGCAAAGAGAGGGGTTAAGGAATTTGACATTCTTAGGGCCCCCAAGAATTAGGGCCCTGGGATGGTAGATTCAGAAAGGTGAGATGGAGAAGAGTAGTTTACAAAACAATTGTTCTCATGTCTTTCTTTGTTCTGGGGACTCTGGTGGCAAACTGCCAATTACTATAGCCTTTATCTCACTTTCTTCTCTAAGTGGTGGATTCCCTATCCACCCGGGCCATTTTGGAAGTCCATATTTGACATTCATCCAATCCCACCATAGCTCATGCTGGGTCAATGTAATCACTGAATATTGACCAGATGTCTCCCCATTGGATTCCCATTTGCAAGAGATTTCCTGCAAAACAAAGGAGGGTGACAGAAATGGTTCCTTTTTATTTAGTTTTATCACTCTATGATTTTTCTTCAGGGCACTCCATGTGTTTTACCTTTTCTTTTCTTTTTGGTTATTCTCTGATTTTCTGGTTTCCAAAACTCTGAGAAGCACATTCCTTAAAACTCACATTTCCAGAAGAGTAAAATCTTACTTTTTCTTACTGATGTGGGCATTCACTTTAGTATTTAAGGCTATATTTTTTCTTCCTTCAAGACTCAGTCTTCACAGTGGCCAATCTGATCAGAGTTTTATTGGCATCTTTGTTCCTGTGATTGTTTCTAAACGCAGAAAATGTATGAAAGATAGAGACCCTATGGGCAGCAGCTGGGATAGATCATTCTGCTCTCAGTGTGGGGTGTGCGTGGACAGGTCAAGAGCAGAACAGAAGGCAAGCTCAGCTTGTACACACCAGGAAGATGCCAGAGTGGTGATCAGCAGAGGGTCTCTCTCAATGGAAAGCAGGCTCTTAAAAACACGAAGCTGTATCCTCATCCACCTCATTCACCAGATCTAGCAACATGCAACTTCTGGCTCTTCTCCAAAGTCAAAATGACCATGAAAGGGAAATGTTTTTGACTCCATTCAGGATATTGAGGCAGCCAGTACAGCACAGTTAAAGACCCTCAGGAAAGTGGACTCCAGAGTTTCTGCAGAAAGTGACAAGGATGATGGGATGAATGTGTTCAAAAGGGGGGTGGGAGTAAAATTTTGATGGGTATTTATAGTAACTCACGCTTTGCTGCAATAATTTTTTCCAACTTTAAACATTCAACATATTTTTCAATTACACTTTATAGACTAATCTTAGAAGCCCTGTAGTGTCATCTCTGTCACTGGTCTTTGGTCAGTGAGACCAACTCTGATACAATAGAGATATTCACCACACAGAGGACTGAATTCAAGGAGCTGAGAGATGGTACAGAAGCATCATGGAAGCTGGCTGTCATTGCCATGAAGATATTTCTACTTGCCTCCGATTTTGTCTGCTTCCCACTTACCTACAGCCTTAC